AGTGCAATTACCACTGTAATTTTTCGATAGTTGTATTGCTCTCATGATACATTTTATATATGAGGGAAATAAATGAATCTGTCACTTACTCCCTCTGATGTCCTCTGTGTGCACATCAAAGCTAATGTATGCATGGAAAAGACACAATTTCGTGTTTTGATATAGAAAAATGGAATGCTGTCAGCGTTTATTCTAGGATTTCAGGAGTCATGTTATTACAATGATTCACACAAGGTAAATTGCTCTGTTCGGGAGTTATTGCTTATATTTTTCATGGAGTAGAAAAGTCTGAGTTATAACAAAAAGATTTTATTTTCCATTAATTTACATCCTATTTTGATTTTCACATTATATTTACATAACAATCGTACACTAAGATGGATTGTTCATTGAAATGAAAGGAGACTTTACAATGGAAAAATTTACCCAATATATTAGCCATATCTTCAATTACATTATGTCACTTTCATGAAGTACCTACCCCACTATGGAAATAAAGAGATGTAAGTCAAAAAACCAGAAAACTACATAATATTTTCATGCATCAAGGATCTATGAGGAAAACGATATGTAGTCTTCATGTTTCACTCTATATGATCTAACTTCTTCATGAAGTGTATTTTTATTGTTTCAGAGAACTTGACATGTCACGGTTATCGTTAGTTATCAGAACGAATGTTTCTGCCTATCTCATATAAAATGATATTCCTTTGTAACTTATATTCTTGTCAGAAGTTTGTATTCAAATTTGTTTCACATATTTCATCTCTGATATCGTTATAGCCTTTGAAAGTTGGTCCCGAAAATACATCTTCATACAGGCTGATTCACGGTGAATGGAACATTATAGACGTTTCTGGAGAACGCAACGTAGGATTATTCTGAAAATTTTGTTCCTCGGATGATTAGTTGTGTCACAGCCGTCTTCAACTGTTGTGTTCTATCGACCTGAAATATTCTCAGTGCTGCGACGTTGCCGCTTAAATCGATAACTAGCAACAACTTGGATTTTTTCAATGGGACACCCTGCATATCATTCCGTTTTCAGATTCTCCCTGTAGAGCTGGTTTCATCGATTCATCACACTTGGGGTCTAACTGGCATGACAACACTGACAACTTTAAGAATTTTTTGTGTCGAAACTATTCATAGTTGGTCAAAACGGTTTCTATGTCCCTACCTATCTTAACTCATCACGTACTATCAATTAATTGATATTCAATTGAAATATTAACAGGGCGGTCAAGAATCTTAATTCTGAACCACCATGTATTTAATTCTATTAAACATTAATTGATGGTGAATAAAATATTGGGATGGGGACATGAGAAATGTTTCGACCAATTATGAATAGTTTCGACACATAAAATTCCAAAAGTTGAAAAATCTCGATTTTTCACAACCTATAACTCGATAATTATCACTGCTAGACCCCAAGCTCTCCAGGAAGAATTTGAAGATGGAATAATATACAGTGTATGTCATTTGAAAAATCAAAGTTGTTGCTACTTTTCAATATAAGCGGCAATGTCGCAATGCTGAGAATATTTTAGGTCGATAGAACACAAATATTATTCAAAGCACCAACTTTTCAGGATAATCCTGAGTTGCGTTCCCCAGAAACATCTAATGTTCCATCCACCGTGAATCAGCCAGTATAGAGCTGATCCACATGATTTTCCTCTCACCCATGACATAAGTCAACTGTCAACTATTCGATCACTGACATATTAATTTTATTCTGTGACGGGAAGAAAGTTTGACATTTCATCTCTGTTGACAGGTTGTACAATGTCACTTTTCATAAATTATTTTTTTCCACGGAAAAGAAGTCAGTATACCTTTAGTGACCAATGATAGCGGCCCACCCACATAGATTTTTTATTTTTGGAGCGATTCGCACAATTTTTTTTTTAAATATAGAGATGGAAAAGGTGTATATTGAAGCTGAGCGGCGTCTATTTTTTTAAAAAACCGAGGCCTACTAGATCACAATGAGAGTATGAAAAGTCCAGTATCCATATTAGCGATCATATTAGATAAAATCCCCGTACACCACTGGAATCGGCGTTTTCTGAAATAGATCTGTACCAAGTTTCATGATAAAATATTCAACATGAACGAATCTACAGCGTATCTCATTTCAAACGACCCTCCCTCTATATTTCAGCTATTATAGTTGTGCGATATTCACCATATTGGGACCGATATGAATAACTTGTTTTTCAGAGACGAACATTATCTTGGCCAGTGCCAGTGCTGCAACGCAAGTGTAATTCTTGGTAAAAATATAATGTTATATCTTCTCAATATTGATTCGTGCTTCTTCCTGTGATAGAAAAGAATAGTGTAATATTGAATTGATTCATGCCATCAGGTGAAATAGGTACTTGCTCGAAGGCGACATAATCATATTAAAGTGAATATACACTGTGTACTCTTGGGTTGAGCAGTCATTGAAATTAATTTAAATAATGGAATTTCAAAACTCGTCCATGCCGTATATTTAATGAATTATTACAATCGAATTCTATCAATCTCTCGAGAATTCATAGATGTCTATTGAATGCAATTATCTGACCCTGTCGTTAGTAACATATTTGAAAAAATTATGATACTTTTGTTTGTTTTTGAATTGGGATTCTTGCTCCTGAATAAGAAAAAAACTTTCATTATAATCGCCTATATGGCACATATAAGTGAAAATACTCTGCCCTTGGAAGGCTACATTGCTTATTAACTGTCAGTACTCTATATCATCATAATTTCATTATACAAGTATTCGTAGTGTCGATTCATTCACATTGTGATATTATAAGAAACATGTTTGATGTAATGTGGAAAATAGATTTTTGTGTGTGTGAGTGACATCTATCAAATTACTAATTTTATAATTTCATAGTTTCATTTTGAGGTTCCATGTATGAAATAAGTATAGTTATTTGTTCAATTAGCCAAGGCAAAGCGGAGAGGCTAGGTAACCAGCTACTTCATGACATGACATGACAATGTGGAACATCAATTTTTTTCACCAAATTCGTTTCAATTTCAGGCAAGGTCCAAATGATCCATCATTTTGTGTTCACCAAAATTAATTGTCAATTTTGATTTCCAATTTGATTCAAATTATCACTTGGAACATTGAATGGCAACAAACTTCTTCTACCCAGAGAGAAAGTACAATATTTCTGCCTGTTAAGTGTGAGAAGCCACTTTCTATGCCGCTTGAAGGAAAATTCATATTGTAAATATGTACTCTCTCTGCCTAGGCAGGTAGTTTTTGAATTCGAATTATAATGAAATTGGTTATCAAAATTGACACTGACATTGGGTGAACACAAAATGTTTTTCAATAAAAAAATTACACAAAATTGGTTTGACTTGATCATTAGATGCGGCAGTTGATCTACTACTTTGCTGCCTAGTGAAACAAATAACTGTTATTAGTATTTTGAGTATTAGCAGTACTGACAGTTCATCTAGAAATGGTCAAATTCTTATTATGCAAACAATATAAAGAACCCTGGGTATTTCAAAATATTTCGACGATTGGCAAACATTGAAGTGAAACAACAGTCATTGAATTTTCGTAACCGTTAACACAAAAAAAACAATGTCTAACAATTATTCCTAATATCTTTTTATTTCTTAAACCACAATTAACGGATTAAGAGCTGAATCACCATGGATTGGCGTTTTGAGAGGCCATAACATGACACGATACATTTTCTGATCTATTTACTGACGTTGAATTTTGTCTCTTGAAGCTTCTCATGTCACAAGTACTTGAGTTGTAATTAGGAAGCACACAGGTGATACATTTGACAATTTACTTCTTAGTTAGGGTCATTAAAGTTTTCTGATAATTAGGAAATTTGGTCTCATGGTACCACAAAAGAGTCGGAACTATAACATCGTCATTATGGACTAGCAGAATAAAGTGGTATTTTATATAAAAGGTTTCATATCATTATGACATTTTGATTTGAATATAATAGTATCTTATGACACTAAGGCCAATGAGACAATGAATAATGAAATAAAAACAAACATTCATTAAAGATGATTTGTACTGTCTGTAAGTACATTCATTATTCCAGATTTCTTGGACTTTTCTCTCCTCGTCTCTCTGAAATAAGAAATAAAAAATATGAATACTATTTCAATATACGTGTAGTTAGGAGAAATCAGATGATTTGCACCAAAATGTCACTGCGTTTGAAGAATTTTTCTATCAGAGAGCCTAAAAAAAATTCACTAGCTTGTCACTGATAATTTGTATTGAAAAAGGTTTGGAGAAGAGAAATAGAGGTATATAGAAAAAATATAAGATTTCAACTTATCTTTGGACGTTTCGAGAAGGAATCTGCTCTTGTTTTCAACATAACATGGATTTTTTGTAATGCAAAGTCGTATTTGTCCTGACACTTTTTAGTTCTCAGTAAAAATTAGTGACGTTGGCAGAGTGGAATAATATTGAAATCATTGGAAAAGAAGATAATAACCAGCAGCAAAAAAACAAGGAATCTGCTTGCATTCTTCTGAACGGGGACAATAGCATTGCTTCCTGTTCAGTTGATATAGATAGAACATGGTATTCACTGCTGAAATCTGGAGATGGAAATGGTGAATTCAAGATTAATTAATGAAAACACCCTGTAACTCGTTTGATTGCCAACGTCACCAATTGTCACTGAGAACTGAAAAGTATTAGGACAAATACGAAAAAAAAAATCCATTTTTTATGTTGGAGACGGGAGCATATTCGTTCCTGAAACGTCCAAAGATGAGAAAAAATTTGATATTTTTTCAATATACCTTTATTTCTCTTCTCCAAACCTTTTTCAATACAAATTGTCACTGACAAGTTAGGCCCTCTGATAGGAGAATTCTTTAAACGCAGTGACATTTTGGGACAAATCATCTACACGTATATTGAAATAGTATTCATATTTTTATTTTGTATTTTATAGAGACGTGGAGAAAAAATCCCAAAAATCTGGAATAATAAAGAGTATTTATATTTCAACATATTCCAACATCTTCAGTGCACGAATTGCCGGGTAAGTACGTCTTCCTATTGGCCGAAAATTTGTATCATAATGAAGAGTACGTGTTTTCATTGACAAAAATCTATTTAATAATGGGATTCTATGTTGAAATAAACAATAATTCTGAATCGGTAACAGATATTTAATGGGCATATTTGGAATACGAGAGTAGAAGAATGTTTTATAGAATTTCGAACATTTTGCAAGATTTTCTTGATCAAAATCAATATAGTAAATGTACCGTGTCATAAGGCCCTAATGGGTAAAATCACAGTTTCGCATTCGTTTTCACATTACTGCGCATCCTTAAATCGTCATGCCCAGACGAATACACTGAATGTCAGTTCATAAACTTGCAGCTTTCGTACTATAGACTAGCACCGCCAACTCTTTACAGTAATTAGGAAGAATGGGATGTGGAGCAGAAGACTTGAAGACGTGGCACCTGATTCACCTGTGGACAAATGGAAAATATTCACATGTGTTCAGGTATATTCAGGGTGTCCAAAGATAAAATCGAAAAAACTTATTGGGTTATAGGGACTCCCAATATGATTGCAAAATGCCATGTTCAAATGTCCATAACCGCGTCGTTACTGACATACAGAGTGATTTGTGGAATTTGACAAAAGTTCAATCGGCCATATTGAATACAGGAATTCAAATTATTATTTTTTGTTATATTTATTACAAAAACAAAATTTTTCGTTGTGTTTTATATTCGTAAATTCAAATTAATTACTAAAAGCAAATATAATTTATCTCGAAAATGAAGCAATTTCGGACTGAGATGAATTGCTTCGAATCTGTAAGGGGTCTGAGATGAGTTTGAAGCTTTTTTCCCAAAATAATACAGTCGAGTGAAACTTGTTGGCTCGAAACATGTGTTGAATGTGTTGAAAATTCGATATTATCTCAATATTATATTTCTTTCCTTCAAATATTTTTCTAAACGAAGTGTCACTGACAAGCTACTGGATTTTTCTTTTAGGCTCCCTAATCTCAATTGGCCATTGAAACAAAAATACGATTTTTTTTCGAAAGTTTTGCATTTCTTGTTTTTTTCCTCTAGAACTCTGATAAGAAAATAGAACAGAATCTCATTTCAGTAAAAAAAATCAAAAATGGTGATCAAAACCATGATCCATTCGATTCAGTACATTCAGAAACGGCCTTCTCGATATCCATTATTTATATTAGACTATCAACTCGAGACGTTTTCGAAAATTCACCTCTATAATTGAAATACAGGATAAAAATTTTCCAATATTTATTGCCCAAGTATGAGACACAGAGTATTGTTGTTCAATATATTGAGTGTTTCACAAGTTATCTAACAAATTACGAACTCTAGAAAACAATAATGTTAGAAGAATGTGGTGGCCAGCATTATCTCAAGATCTGAACATGATTGAACATATGTGGAGCCGAATGAACTCAACCTATCAAGAAGGCGAGAGGCACCCCAAAATAATGACAACCATATCCAAGCTATATCAGAAGAATGGGAGGCAATATCGATAGACTTCATCAACAACCTCATAGAACCTATGCCAAACCGATTTCATGAGGTTTCGTTAAATCTGGGAGGCCATACTAAGTACTGAAATTTAGGATATAGAACTTTTCAGTTGGATCTTCATAAAGCTGAAGAATTCACTAATGTCATATTTCGCCAATAGTGCTATAAATTCAATTTTCCATCTCGTTTTACTTCTATACAATTACTATGTGTCAGATAAGTTGTGAAACACTCAGTATATCGAACAACAATACTCTGTGTCTCATACTTGGGCAATAAATATTGAAAATCAGTTGATAACAATCTTCGATATCAGGAAGCAAGTTTGAATTGAAAATTTTCGTCCTGTATTTCAATTAGAGGCGAATTTTTGATAATGTCTCGAGTTGATAGTCTAATATGAATAATGGATATCGAGAAGGCCGTTTCTGAATATACTTAATCGAATAGGCCATGGTTTTAGTCACCATTACTGAATTTTTTTACTGAAATGAGATTTTGTCCTATTTTCTTATCATCTTGTATATTCCACAATGGTGCTTTTTTCGTCATTCATTGTCCTCCACAAAACATTAAAACAGTTCTTTCCAATAGTTAGCTCAAGTGGAGTCCTAGAAAAAAATTTCAAGAAATGCAAGACTTTCGAAAAAAAAAATCGAATTTTTGTTCCAATGGCCAATTGAGGAGAAATCACGAAAACGTCCCGAGATGAGGTCCTAGTATATCATAATATGACTGATTTTTGATCAGAAAAAGAATTCTCGAGTTCTAGCAGCATTGGAAATGTAGACCATAGTGTAATAGTTCCACTTTACACCCTGTGTAAGTTTTGTTCTGCGGACTTTTTCAGAGTGTTCTAGCTCTCTTTGAAGCCGATGAAATATCACATCTGATATCGAAAACCGCATGAAGATCGGTCAATTTTTTAAAAAAATACAGGTCTTCGAAATAGAGTCAAATTATGAGTGGTCCATTTAGTGTGTTGAGAACTGTATATTGAAATAATATGCATATTATTATTTTATAGAAACGAGGAGAGAAAATCCCAAAAAATCAAGTAAAATGAATGTACCACCTCCTCGATTAACCTACAGACAGTATTCACCTTTGTTACTTGGTCCCAGCAGGACAGAAGCCGGCTGCGGCGTGTCCGGTCGGATCTCCACTTCCAGACTGTTGGCACGGTATAGCCTGAAGAGAGTGGCCTCGCATCGGAGCCTCAGGGTACCCCAGCTGCCGCCCACGCCCGACAGCTCCAACCTGCCGGTCTTCCTCTCTAGTTGGTCCTCCACGTGGGTGATCCATTCGGAGGTGTAACCAGGCACCTGGAAATCAACGGTATGAATGAAAATTCGCGAAAAACTTCTGTACATTTCCGAGGGGTGATCATCAAACGGATTTAGCATTGTCAGCATAGAATTAATAATTGTTTCAAGGATAGTTTTTGAACATGTTTTTTCTGTCAGAATCCGAGTCATCACTTGAAAACCCGAAATGAGATTGAGGAGAAAAAGGCTGTAGATACCTAGTCATGAAAGAAAATAGGATTGATCTAAATTAAGATTGATGAACATACCTACCTATATCAAGATTTCCTATATTGATGTAAATATAATGAAGCACCTCCAGCATTTTGACTAGATACAGCTTATTCTTCAAAAGTTGTGGCATTCCTTCTTGTATCAATTCTGTAATGTATCTAGTGAGCCGTAGTATCTGGTCAGCTCAAACAAGGAAAATCACCTACAGGTTTCTGTGGCCGATACAGTAGTGCTGCCATACGATCAACTTGAGGAAACACTTATTTCAATTGTTTTCCCGTCAAACCTACATAACCTTGAAAATCGTGAACGAATTGAGCAGCTCCAGCAGTGTTGCTGTTTCAGGATTTCAATTTGTACTAGAAGTAATTCCGAAATTGTACGAAATTCAAATATATTGTACTAGATTGAGAAAAAATCAAAATTTACGATTCACATGATATTTGATTAAAAATTTCATATTCCCTCATGAAAATTCAAAATAATAATATACAGCATATTGAAACATCTGTGGAAAACGTAGGTCATGAAACAATTATTATTACTAATAGAAGGCGAAAATAAAAGATGAAAAGGACCAGATCAGATTATAGATTGAGATAAATAACATAAACTAGAGACTAGAGAAGACTCAGACTTTCTCCGTTGAATTGGAAATTATGGACTTCTTATCAATTAGGGCTTCATTAGGATCCCAATCGTAATACATCTTCTCCAAATTTTTGTTTTGTATGCAATAATAGCTTGGGCTATCCCATGGGCTATCCGGCTCTTGTTTTCGTACTAGATTAGTGTTAATTGTATTGACAATCTGCGTAATTTGTTCAGTGTGTTTTAGTTCAGTATCACGACATAGTCACGGGTCACGAATACTCAATCACTCAAAAATTCAAAAAATCATTCCATCTCAAAAGATACTACAATAGTCCCCAATTTCGTAACGTTCAACACCTGAATTAAATGAAAGGTAGAATCAGTAGTATCGATTATTAGCTTTTGATCAGGGCTCTGATTATCTTACTTGTAATGAGCCTCTAACACTCATCAATATCGAATGTATCGGTTTCACACTTCCTGCTATGCACAATTGAGAGACAGAGTTTGTAACAAATTATCAATCAGAATGAACTATTATCTATAAGTGAACGAAAGGAATATTAGAACATTGAGAATTGAAAAAGAAAGATTTTTGAAGGAAGAATTATAATACGAGTCACGATGGCACGACAGCTCTTGACACTGACAACTTACATAACCACACATTTCGAAAATTTTCTAGAAAAAGTGAAGATCATTTCGTCCGATACGGTAAATCCTCTGGTGGTCATACACTCAACTAAGCTATAGAGCAGACTAGTAGTTACAGCTCACTAGATTTCTTCAGACAATGGTATTATTCATCAGCTAACTGTGTGATCTCTTGATTTAGGAATATCCTGAACTATCCATAGATAGAAATAGTCGCACGTGTTTGCACATGGAATGATGCTGGCAGTCGAGCTTTCGGTTATAATTGCCATCAAGGCTACATGGGAATCAGTTTTCGGTCTGTGATCATCGTCCCTTTTCAAACCAATCAAAGCCTCAAAAGCGATGATAGCAGATCTCTGATTGGGACCGTGTATAACTTCGTTAATTATCGATTCTATACTATTGTTACATTCGCCATCTCCACAGGGCTGTCTCTCTCTCTTTGCGTTAATTAATCCGGCTTCAAAAACCCGAAACTTTTGGTCACTGCGATAGAGACTGTTCAATTTGCATTTCTGTTCAATCTAGATAACGACTGAATTCTCGTTTCGGTTTAAAAATGCGACAATCGAGCCTGTTTTAGATTCAAATGAAAAACCCTTCATTTCGGCATGCTCGTCTTGAATGAAGGGTCATGACGTCATTACACAGTGGAATATCGTTTTTTATGTTCTGGTTGCCACGAAAAGGGATATCCTGTAATGTTCAGAGAACATCGTGAGAACCAAGGAAAATAAGGTAGGAATTGGTGTTCTTCTTGAATTTCTGGAGGTTATATGCCTCGGGGAACACCTCCCTTGGCAATGTGATTATCCGAATGGATTTGTTGATTCGCTTTTTATATTTTATGATTTCAAATCACACTTCATTAATGTGTCTACTGTCTTTTACAACTGAGATACACGACGCTATTTTGATTTTGGCAAAATCTCTATCTGGTCATAATTTTTGAACAGCTTTGTATAATCTATTCATACTTGGTAGATGAATTTCACTCATATCACTCATGAAGACCCAATAGCAAATGAGATCGGAATCCAGTTCCATCTTCAGAAAAAACAGAAAACCTCTATTCCAAAAACAACAATCTGTATGGCAAAATGTTTTAGATGAAAATAGCGGAAAAAATGAATAAAGTGATCTACTCTTTACAAGCGCGCATTCAATTTGATAGATTTTTTATCAATATTTTTTTAAATATTAAGGCTCTTACCTATAAGAAAATCTTCAAGAGAATAACAACATAGGTAGAGCTGGGTACTTAGAGTAGGTAATATATGATCGTAGGAATAAGTGTTTCCCTTTTGTAATAACTTCTTTGTTAGCGATAAAAGGTTTCCCTCGGATTGATTTTTGTTCGAGAAATCTCTCCTTTCATTTTTCCTATAAGCTCCTTGGTAGCTTTTCAGAACGCAGCGGTCAGGGCAATTTCCACAATAGACCGTGATCATAAAAAATGCGCTATAAAGAAAGGCGTCACATAAATCAGAGACCAACTGAGGAGAATGTTTTTAAAAATAGACAATATTTTACACATGAGAATCTGGACCGGCGATCCTTCTATGGCAATTTTCAATTCCACTTCCGCAGTTGCTTTCAAACGTTCCTTTTGGGAGACAGGGAAGGTATAACAATAAAAGTCACGACTGTTATTGCCATGACAGAGATTCTTCAGAAGGGGAGACAGTACCTACCTATCCCAATTTCGAAGTCTCTGAATGCATGCTTGTGATCGAAGTTCTAGTAAAATGACATTATTCAATCATATTCACACTTTGGATGAGTACTCACAATGAGATAATTTGTTTTGAGTACCAACTTGGTGAAATTAATTTGGTCAGTAACGCCACCCCACTAATAAGTGATTGAGGCTTTATTTTCTGGACGTGATAAGCATATCCACATGACTTCGTGATTTATATTAAGAAATTGATAACGCCGGTACTCACCTACTATTCCAGATACAAAACTAGTAGCTGATGGAACAGTTTTATAACGATAGCATTACTAGAATACTGGAGATGCGATTATATAGTCAATAACTGTGTTTTATCTATTTCAAAGTCCTGGAAATGCGGTAAGTCAAGATTCTTTCCGCTTTTGTTTCAGGTTAAATAGATGAGACAGGAAATTACTAGATGATTGTTACCATGATTATTGTATTCTAATGATTTTGAACCAATCAGAACGTTCAATTGAGTTAAGCTACCTTGTATGATATCGAATATACGTGGATATATATAGAGTAGTTCTAGTTGCATTTCTTTAGTAACGAGTTCATATGTTACATACAAAAAAGCGCGTCGTAAAATTTTGACGTTGGTTCAGAACTACTCGAAAAATAAACGCATTGAACGAATACGATTCGAACTTCAAGATCTCCAAGGTTATTCATCTCAAACTTCCTGCACAATAACAAAGAGTGTCAGTTTGAAAGATCAAATAATCCGACCGCGAAGCGGGATAATTAATATTCTGTTAATTGTGCACAACGCATGTCCATACATACATGCCATGACTGTATGCAAAGTAGTTCATCGTGATACAAGTAACACCATGAATATTCCTGCGAAGAGGCATATTTTAAATAATTGTTCAACAATAGCCCCCTCTTTATTACATGTTTATGCAGTTGATAATTTCGGGACTTTCTACACCAGGGCAGCGTAGGCAAATTGTTTCCGCGGTATAATTTTTTTCGAATTTCAACAAAAACCAATTTGCATGTGTTAGATATATGGTTATTACTCAATGGACAGTGGACTTTATAATTTTAACACGTTTTATAATGAGATAACAGATGAATGGGGATCGCCCTAACTTATCAGGTGAGGCCTAACAGCCAGAGACGGGCGGGGCGTGTGGGCATAACTGATCGAGGCAAACGAGAAGGAGGTTCTTGTTTTTTTCCTTTCATTTTCCTCCAGTCACACTAAACTCCAATATTGATAGCGACAGATCAACTTTACCACCCCTGGGTATTCTCAGCGAGATCACCTATATAAAGGGTTCAGAGATAGACCTCTGTGACGAACACTTCACATATATGCTCACATTCCTTGGCCAACACCAGCCACCTCTGTTCACGTGGAGGATCTCTATGTACAGCTGTACATAACCCAAACATGAATGTGATTATGAATATGTGATATTTCGTAAGTTTGAAAACGAAATAGATAACTTTCATACAATATAATACTAGCCGTTCGATATCTGAGGTAAAGCAGTGCCGAGAACGGTTAGTACTTGGATGGGTGACCATTCGAAGGAACGCCGCGTAAGCCCTCGGATCTGTAGTGAAATAGCTACAACTACCATATCACTCAGCACAAGATATGGTACGGATATGCCGTCCATAGAAGGGGACGTTAAGCCGGCGGTCCCGAGGCCATGGATGTTGGACTCGTTAAAGATCGCTACCCCGTTGGAACACCAGATGATTCGGCAAAATTGGGGGTAGTGTGCTCACCGGCCTCAGTAGCAGAAAAAGGCCAACGTTGAAGAAACAAGGAAAGAGAAGATAACAGATAAAT